TCCCTCCCTCCTCCCTTCTGCAAGCTTAGTTGTTTAGGTAGGAGCATAGGAAAACGGGAAGATCGATAATTATAGGTAGATAAGCAGGACCGACAGATAGATCATTCAGGATATCCACTAACTACGGTAGCGCCGAATCGAAATGCCGGGTTGCCCAACAGTCCTTGAGTGGCCGACCGCCCATACCAGCCGCCGGACGATCGACCTCGGAGAGCGGTGCACCAAAGTACCATGCTCTATCAAGTTTTCGTCTTCCCTGCTGATGATCTGCAGTACATTCACCGCAACGCCATCATCGCCTACCCCTGCGGAAAAGGAACAACATCGTTGTAGCCAGAAGAACCTCCTACTCCCTGTCACGGTCTCTATAGTCAACCAACACTGGCATTATACATAATTATCGTCCTTACATGTCCCTACCCCCACCATCACCACCAATTTCTTCTTACGCTCTCGAAACTCGGTCACAGCCACACGAGGTCTCTCATGACCAGCATCATCGCCACAGTGTCATGTGCTTAGTAGCCCAAAATCACTAGGTAGTGACAACCCCTGGCTTCATGGTCGCCATCACCATGTTCAGTGGAAAGACTGCTTGCTGTGCCGAAGCCAGCTCCCCTATCTCTGGAAAGCAGGCGCCCTCGAAGCTCGAGGTTCGAACTCCACCATCCCCAAAGTGTCGGCCACGACTGCAGACTTGGGATTTCCGGCTTTTGCGGCTTCTGGAGCTGAGGGTAGAGATGTCAGGCGGGCTTCGGTTGTTTCCGACTGAGTGCTGTCATCTGTGGAGTGCTTACCGGCTTACCACATCCATTCTTGCATCGGTGGCATGCGCAAACTTTCGTTGATCTTATTTCGTGGGTCCGGCCGCACATCGTGGTGGAACCAGCAATGCACATCACATGCTCGAATGATCGAAGGCCGGGGAACATCAGGCCTGGAACTAGATGCACAACATGGGGTAAGATCATTTCATCCTGCTTCTATTTTTGTGTTTGAATATGTTCTTGCAGGAAATGTTGCTCAGTATCTTTCTGCTAGCTCAATGCATGGCTGTAGGCTTGTAGGACAGGTCTTGTTCCGAGGTGTTCAGCCGTGCCCAGCCCGGCCTCCTTGTGTCTTTGCTTCACAGCTGACTCCCACCTGCGCACTCGTACGAATGCTTCAGCCGAAGTTGAGGAAACACTGCCAACCGTCATGTCAGGGTGTTGACCCCTATGACACCGTACTACGTACTTTTACAGGCAACGCAGCAAGATGCGGTAAGTGACAGATATAGGCATCCGTTACAATCTGAAGATCCAGGTCGCACGGCAAAGTACAAACTTGTCTAGGCGAAGTGAGATTGGAGAATGCGGCCAAGTTGGGAGCCCAAGACATGTCGGCAACAGACCGTACCATACAGTCACTAGTCACTAGCGGAAGTCACGGCAGCACTCATTTCCCGAGCAAGTCCTTGATTTGCACTGCACGACACAAGAGTGCCGCATCTCGCAAGAGCAAGAACATCCTAATTTTACCGCAGCAAGCAGGCAAGCAGCGGTGTGCCGCTTCATTCTGACAACATTTGTCCTTTCATGACAAAGAGTACCCAGTCAATCCAAACTTCACAGACGGCTCTGTACAGAAGCGGCTAGCTGATAACATAAGTCAACCTAGGTGCACGAGCCCCCCAAGACCACTGCAAGATCCAAAAGCCCCACAGGATGATTTGCTTTCGGAGAGGACTTCGCGGCTTTTCGCCATCGTTTGCGTGTTGCAGGCAGACCGTCGCACCCGAACAGCGTTTTGCGGTTTGGCTGCAATTGTTCCCGCAGAATGCCTTGAGCCTACCGCGAAGCTTCTTAGGCATTGGTGTCAGCAATATAATACTTGCCACTACACCTGACAGACTGATCCACAGGAGGACCGACCTCCACGTGATGTCTCTAAGTAATTTACCGAATTCGGGAGGCATGCCAGGTTACATGCCAATTAAGCATGTGCAGCTTGCAGCTCGCGGACACGATAGACCAAACACACTGAGGTTTGCAGGGATTTGTGTGAGTATGTGCTTTTTGTCTGTGGGAGTTCCCGACAAATAGAACAACACCCTCATAGCTAATCCCGAGAGAAGGGAGAGTGCATCTTCATGTTACAAACTTCGCGGTAGCGAGTTGGATTCGGATTTTGCCGCTGGCCTGGCTGAAGGCCACGAGGACTTCTTCGCCTCAGATCGCTCCGAAATACTCCTAACTCTTGCGCAACGAACCTGATTACCTGATTCGCGGCTTCAGCCTTCCAGGTACCATGAAACTTCAAGATACTTCAAGGAGAGTTTGGAAACAAAGCGTCAGCTTACGTCAAAAGATTCTAGAGCCCAATCGCAGCAGGTGTGCCGCAGTTCGAGGACCTGGGCCGACTTGCTTTTGAACACAAGCCGCGACGTCTCCAGCCTGAACCCAGAACCTTCGCATGACTGAATACTTGCCTAACTTACCCGTAGGCATGGAAACCTGTCTTTGAGGTTGGAGTCGTTGGGCTCCAGGCCTTCCAATCCGAGGTCTCCCAGGGGGCCTGCATTTTTCATGTCTCGGGCTCGACGACTAAACAGGTACTGCAGACGGTGTACGGAGAAGATCCGGACAAATGCCGCCGCTAGCACGAATGGTCATGACGAAGCATGAAAGTCTTTGTCTGGCACTCTATGCTTTTCTTGTTTTCCGTATGTATCTTCGGCTGCACCGGGGTGACCACGGGTTTTGATTTGTCTTGCAATGGTTTTCAAAGGTTTTGTTTCGGCTTCGTAAGGCTTCTCAATCGTTTCGCTTGGGCTTCTATACGTCACAGCAGGTTTTCGTTCGGGACATCTCAAAGGAACTACAAAGCTTTCATACAATTGCACGTTTTATGAGGCTGTCGGAATGCTTGGGCTTTTGATCGGCCTCAGGGCTTTGCCGGGTGCGACCAAAGTTTTTTCGCGTCTTGCTACGATGTAAACGGGTTCTGGGAAGGCTGTGCGCGGCTTGATACAGGCTATAGGCGGGCTGGTGTACTGATGACCGACGGTTTTCTGTATGTCTTGGCAGGCTTTGTAAGGGTTCGCCGAAAGTTATGTCAATAATGTCACCGTAGCTCGGACAAGCGAACATCTTGAGCTTCGTGAGAAGAAGCGGAGCAAGCTGGCACTACAATCCCGGAGGCACGGCATCAAGGGGAGCTGCTTTGGTCAGCTCGAAAACTACCTGAACCCACACATCCCGGAACACGCAGCCTTACGGCGGTTTGGACATACTGACATTCCGAAATGTACAGACTTGGGCAGCATGTCCCCATGTGTTCGGAGCTTCAATGAAGCTTAAACTGCTACGAATTGCAGCACGCTTGGTCTGCTGTACACAGGTTCGACATGCTACTTAATCAACAACTGAATCCAAGACAAGAGTCGAACAGATCTGAAGCCGCCAAGCTGGGAAGCCGAGAAGTCAGAAAGTCAAAGCCGTCCAACCGAGCAACTGAGAGCATGACGGCGGGTGAGAAAGTAGAGC